AAAAAAAAAAAAAAACAAAAAAAACCACATGAAAACATTAAAGTTTATTCCTATGAGAAATATCACTTTGTTAAAACTGTTTCTTATAGCACGAAAGATCATAAAAGTGGATGAAATGATAGTGGAAGAGGAAGAAGAAGAAAATAAAAATAAGAATCCTCAAACTGCAAGAGTAAGTAGGCACTCAGGTTTGAGGCTGGGAGAGGACAGGAGACAAATACATAATATCCTATTGCCCCACCCCCACCTGCCAGTGTTCAGTTTAGTAGAGAAGATCCCACTTAAATGGCTAAAAACAAAAGCAATCACAGATGTGTGTATAAGGTACATAGAAGAGGAAGCTATCAAAGCTATTACCTCGCTGGTTAGGATACACCAGGCCTTTAAAGGTGAGGGAGATTTCACTAGCTGGAAAAGAAAGGGAAGGGAAATCCACAAGGAGATAGGAAAGTTCCATTTAAGGAACAAGAAGCAGTTTGGGATGGCAAGGATGTAAACTGTGAGGGTGATCTGCATAGAGTAGGGCCAGACAACGAATGGCCTTGTGTACCAGGCTTGGAAGTTTCCATTCCACCAGGTTGGTCATTTCAGATTGGTATTTCAGAACAATATGCAGGGTAAATGGGAGAGGGGAAAAACTGGAGACAAGGAACCCAGTTGGGAGGCCATTGTAATTCTTAAACAGAGGCACCGAGCCTATAAAAAGAGAAGGACGGTTTTGACATAATGTTCTAAAAGGGAGAATGAGGGGCGCCTGGGTGGCGCAGTCGGTTAAGCGTCCAACTCAGCCAGGTCATGATCTCGCGGTCCGTGACTTCGAGCCCCGCGTCGGGCTCTGGGCTGATGGCTCAGAGCCTGGAGCCTGTTTCCGATTCTGTGTCTCCCTCTCTCTCTGCCCCTCCCCCGTTCATGCTCTGTCTCTCTGTGTCCCAAAAATAAATAAATGTTAAAAAAAAATAAAAATAAAAGGGAGAATGAGCTTGGTGGAGGAAGGGAGGAAGCAGGGATGATCAAATGGTTTCTAGCTCAGGCAGCCATCATGGGTGGAAGGTGGGACATGGGAGGAAGAGCGGTGAAGGGGAGCAGCCACTGTCCCAGTTTTTGTTCCACACTTGCCCGAGATTTCAGCCTGGCGCTCAGGGAGCAGTAGGAGGTTGTGAGACCCACTGTCTCCCATTGTGGCTGTTAGTGAGGTTGTGCAGGGAAGATGTGGAGAGGGGGCTGAGGATGGGCACTTGGAGGGATGCTAGAAAGAGGACCTCATGAGGTAGCCTGCACAGGGACAGCCAGAGAAATGGGGAAGGTGGGGTGGAGGACAGGGATGGACAGAATTGTCAGAAGGTAAGGAGTGATCCTTGTCAGGTGCCCCTGAGGACTTGGGAGGGGTGAGGACTGCCGAGGGTTCCTTAGATTGGGCACCTGGGACCGCCTGAGTGACCTTCACAGCAGCACTTAATGGCAGAGTGACAGGGAGGTGAGGGGATGGAGAGGGGGCAAGCCAGGCCAAGTCAGTTCAAAAGAGATTTCCCTTTAATCTTGGTCAAAACCCTCTGCTTTGAAGACCCAGGCCTTAGTTGGTCAGTTTTGTTCTGTATTACCTAAGGCAACTTGATTCTGGGAGCAGACCTCATATTCGGTGTTAGTTTCCTTTTCCAGAGCTGGTTCCCCCTCCCCTACTTTTCTTACCCCTCCCTTACCTTTGCCCCTTTGGGGGCTTTTTATAATCACAGTTTCATTTGATTGTGAATCCAGGTCAAAAGGTGTCCTCCGTCCAAGAAGAGAACCCAGTCCGTACAAGGAAAAGGCAAAAGCAAAAGGTAATGGGTTTTCCAAACTTCATGGTGTGTTTTGGTTTTACTGGGGAGACCCACTCAGCGTGGCAGAAATCGGGGGTGAAAGGGCTCTCGTGGCCTGTGCTCCAGTGGAACTTGAGTCTCCAAGCTGGAGGGGCTTCTAGAAATGAACTGACCCAGCACATTTCTCCAGTTCCGCCCATGTTCTCTGTCCTCCCCCACTTTTTTGGTTCGTTTGTTTTCATGCCTCCAGCCGCTGAGCTCTAGCCAAGAGGCCTACCAGGGGCTGAGAGGGTGCCTCCTTCCTCTTGTCCCGTTAGCCTGAGAAGTCGGATTCTGGAGGCTGGCCGCTCGGCTTCAGCGCACTGGCTCCACCCTAGTTGGCTGTGTGATCTCAGCCAAGTTGTGCGACTCAGTGTGCTGGAGTCTGCATCCGTACGCAAGGATAACAGCCGTGTTTCCCGGGTTGTTGGGGAGCTTCACGAATGAGCATGTGTGAGGTGCTCAGGACAGTACCCGACATGATCGGGGCCTTCTGTGTGTGACCTGCCACGCTGCTGCTGTCACTGCGCACCTCATGGCCACTTCTTACCTGCAGGTCCAGCCACTGTAACACTGTCACCCCAGCTGGGGGCCGGTTGGAGTTGTCTATGGTGAAACCAACTCCAGGCTTGACACCCAAGTTTGACTCAAGGTGAGTGATGGGAGCGGTGCCTGCATCTGGGTGGGAGCCCACCAGTTAACATCAGTCAGCAAAAAAGGGTGTGTGAGAAAACACTCGACTCCTCGGCCTGGCAAAGCGCTCTTGGAGGAGGGCAGCCGTCTCGGCTTCCGAGTGTTTGCCCCTCCCCTGGGTGCAGGTTAGCTGATTTCAGCGACAGAATGACTCTGACGAGAGGGAGGAGGACATTCTGCCTCTGATAACTAGGAAGCCTCTGGTGATTCTTGGTCTTTTCTGATTCTGACCAGGAAACGTAGTTTTTAAAACTGGGTAGGTACTCTCCTATACCCTTGGTAAGAGTGACAGTGGACACCACGTCACATCGGGAGACCAACGTAACCCAGGCTCTAAGCCAGTGTCTTCCAGCGGGCCGGTCAACTGGACAGGAAGTGCCGTCTCACCATTAAAGTGGATGTGCGTGTGCTGATGTGACAGCTTCGTGATCACGGGCGTCTCCAAGCACGTTGCAGAACAGCGTGTCCTAGACGATCCCATTTGTTTTTACATACGTAGAACATTTCTGGAAGACATACGGAATTGAGAGTAGGGATCTCTGGGGTGAGGAGAGGGAGGAAGCCTTCTACTTTTAATTCCCACTCTTGAACTGGTTTTCACATGAGCGTATAGCAGAGGACATGTAGAGAAAAACAGGTAGCAGAATTTTAACTGTCTCGAGAAGGTTAGGTTGGGAATTAATATGATGTAGTCTCTGGATCCTCCTTTTTTGACCCCGGAAAACTCTTCTTGATGGAAGCACTTAGCCACTCTTGGAAATGCATTAACCATAGTTTATTTCTGGCTTTGTGGCTGGATGGATGACTGGCATCCATACAGAGCTTTGGACCTGAGATTTCCGTGGGTAAGAACTGACTTTGGCTAGATGTATGTTTGATAATTACAGCCTCCCTTCTCCAGCTGTGTTTAGTCATTACTGTTTAAAAAGACATTTTTTCCCCTAAATTTAGAACTCGCCTTCTTAGAAATGTGGGATTTGAAAACTACAGCTTGAGGCCAGATGGGGGCTGCAAGGGTTCACAGCGCCTCATGTCATTCAATCTGCCAAGCCATCTTGACGGGGATCTTCCCACTTTGTAGGGTCTTCAAGACCCCGGGCCTGCGCACTCCAGCAGCCAGAGAGCGGATCTACAATATCTCCATGAATGGCAGCCCTCTTGCCGACAGCAAAGAGATTTTCCTCACGGTGCCGGTGGGCGGTGGAGAGGTGAGTGTCTCCGAGGGATGCCGGGCCACCACGCTGCTCGCTCAGCCCTTCTGTCGTGGGCCCATCACCCACTTCTCACCCCCACAGTCCGTGGGGTGGCATGGATCCCGATCTCCACATCTCTGCAGGGCTCAGAACCCAGTTTTCTCGCCCAGGTTAGAGGCCCAGGCTGGGATCCTTGCCCGGCTCCATGTTCCTATTTGTTCCTCAGCTAACATTTGCCCAGCTGCCTTGTTGCAGGCCCAAGGTGTAGAAGACACGATCCCCGCTCTCGAGAAGCTGTTCAGTAGTCAAGATAGGTTCACCGTCAAGAACAGGATTATGTGAGGTGTGCAACACGGGAGGTTATTAAAGGGAACGCAGAGGAAGGCACCGTTGGGATATGTGCCTAGTCTAGAAAGGGGACCAGGAGCTGTGTCTTCCACTCTGTATAACTCTGAGGGGTTCTGAAGCAGGCTGATACCCGTTTCTCTGGGTTGAAAAGAGGAAGTTGCTGACCTCGGCTCCTCGGAGGGAAGGAAGGTGTATCTCAGATGTGTCTGCAGGGCATTTCTAAGCTAAAGTACATGCCCTTTATTCCCCGGGTGGTCCAGCCAAGGTCCAGTGATAAGCACTGATGTCACTGACGCCTCAAGGCACTCCTTGCCACTCCCCCCACCCCCCACCAAGTGTGGAGTATCACGGGCACCCCTGGGGCACACTAAGGCACTGGGTAGAGGGCCCTGCCCTAGGGGACATGGAGGTTGAACCCATTTTGCCCTCCACACAGAGCATGCGATTATTGGCCAGTGACTTGCAGAGGATGGACATCGCACAGCTGGACCCAGAGGCCTTGGGAAACATTAAGAAACTCTCCGTGAGTCTCGTAACCCTCCGCGCACAAGATGCCGCCAACGGCGTTCTTAGTTTAGCCGTACTTGGGACTGTCTTTTGGGGGCTGGGCTTCATCTTTAGCACCGTGTTGTCCTCTTTCCCCCAGGGGATTTTAACCATAATCCTACTTCCCTAGCTGCAATTCTGTCCCTAAATTGAGGTTGACCTTCAGTCCACCCCAGAGTGCCTGCCACAAAAGTTCCACAACAGAATCAAAATTCTGCGTCATTCAGGCAGTTGGTGTCAGTGTGTGAGGGCAGATTGACTGCCGGAACGGAAACCTCCTAGAGGGAGGGAGGGGCTTGTTCCAAGGGGTCCCACGGAGTCCAAGAAAATGCCGAACAGCCAGGCCTCCGGAGCAGTGGGACCCTCCTTGACAGGAGTTTATGGAGGTACACCTGTTCCTGGAGCGTCTCTGTCTTTGAGGCCCACGCACCCATTTCTCTGACATTTCCTCATTCCTCCCTTGGCAGATCATCTTCTCCACAGGGCTCTCGGTTCCGGGCTGTGTCCTCCTTCAGTACTGGCTTGCGTGTGGCTTCAGGCAGCCGCAACTCTGACTTCACTAATGCCCGGCACTGACTGTCCGGCTTCTGGCCTCCGCTTACGTTCTCGGAAGGGCGTTGAATTGGTTCAGCCTTGGTCAGATGGGCCTCCGTGGTCCAGTCAGCATGGTCTCCGGTGGTGGATGGGAGCACTTGGTGCGAACACGGCTGCCCTAGGCGCCCCCCTACTGGGGGGGGGTCTGTGAAGGGTACCTCCAGGGAGGGGGGCAAGGGCAGAGCTGCTTTCCCAGCCCGGTCCTGTGGAACGAGGGCCCCGTGCTGGGATCCCACACGTACCCAGCTACCCGAACCTAGCGACAGCCGTCCCCTAGCTGTGCCTGCAGCACTACTGTCTCATCTGAGGTCTTGTTTTACTGCTTCGTTCAGATGAGGAATGGAGGTCCAGGACAGGTAATTCATTAGTTCGTGATATGAGTAGAGAACGGAGGGCTGAGATTCACTCAGACCTGCTGACCCCAAGTCCAGTGCCACCCGAGGAGACTCTGAAGTGGCCAACAGGCAAGCGTGGCCGGTGCCGTGTTCGCTCAATGACCCGCCTCCTTTCCTTTGTAGAGCCGCCTTGCCCAGATCTGCAACAGCATACGGACTCACAAATGAGGCCGCTGTCTCAAGAAGCCAAACTTGACAGGATGGACCTTCAACGGGCACTTCTGGGACCCTGAAGAGACTTCTTCCCTTCAGGCTTATTGTTTGTTGGAGCGTGAAGTTCCAGAGCAGGGAGTGGTGTTCCTCTGGGAGAATTTGGGACGCGGGGGAGACGCGCTGCTCCCCCATCGGTTAGATAAAGCTTTGCTCTTCGCACCTCCCAACCCAACTGCCTCCCGCATCCGTGCAGTCGAAACTTCCTGTCATTCTCCTGGCAGAATTCTCCTTCCTGCTCTGAGCTGCCACCTTCTGCCTCCTGTAACCCAGCATCCTCTCTGCCCCGCCCCTATCCCAGTGGAGGTGGCGTGAGAGCAGCTCATGTTCCCAGGAAGACCGCCTGCTCCCCCTCATCAGAGAACCCTCTGCTCGAGGCTGGGAATTTTAAGCTCAGGGAAGCGTGAGCTCTGGGCCATGGGAGGACAGATCCGGAAAGCTGGGAGGAACTGTACAGATGGGAACAGGACAGCAGGATGGGATGTATCCTGGCAGTAACCACAGCAGAGCACATCTCACCCCGGCCCCCATCCCTGCTTTCTCCTGTGGTGGATACTAAATGGGCCTTCAGGATCTTCTACCCGCTGTGCCCGGTAGGCTTTTCCAAGCCGACTTGTGGAACAGTGTTTTGTATTTATCCCTTTACCGAAGACCAAAAATTGGTTTGGAGGCAGCTTCCATGTCTGGCTTCTCTACCTCCCTAGTTGGTAGGAATTTGGCTAAGACAATTCTAGGGCTTAGCTTAGTCTAGGGTTTTTATGGGACCGGCTGCAGAGGAACCGTCTCCAAGCTCTCTCTAGTCCAGTTGTCCCTGCCAGGTTCACAGACTTTGCAGGGACTGCTTCCTCTTACGGGGTTCATTGGGGGGCAGGTGTAACTTGCCTGGTGGCCTCACTCCCCATGTTTAGCCTGTCCTCCGGGCATTGACTAGTTAATCAGAGTCAGCACCAAGATCCCTGTGCTCCAGCCAGCACCTCCGCCCCAAAGAATCATGAGATGTGGTCCAAAACTAGGGGAGCCGAGAATTCCCTCCCCGGGCTCGAGGGCACTGGGATCTCACGTGTGGCTCTGTGTTCTACCTGGTGTTACTTTGCTGCGTGGCCCTCCTAGCGATCCAGTCCTGTTGCAGCTGTATTCCTTTAAGTTGTTTTATTCTCCCTTTCCCGAGACTGTGCATATTGTGTTCCTGAGCAATGGCATCCCTAAGCTGTTCTAATTCGAGGTACTGAAAGTTACCGGTTTTCAATAAATTGTGGGTTTGTTTTTAATCAGTATTCAGCCTGCCTGTCATCTCCAAGCTGTGCTGTCTGGACTAGAGACTGTTTGGGAGCTGAAGCTATCGAGTGGGGGTCCTCAAACAGCTGCTTTCCTCAGAAGCTGCGGAAACCCATCCTTAAGGCACAATCTGACATCTGAAGAAGGGGCCCTGACCCCAGCATCCAGGGCATAGCTGACCCACCCCGAGCAGGTTTCCCCCAACACCTTTGTTCCATGAGCAAGAAATTGACATCCGGGAGGACAGAATCCAGGGTATCTGTAGTTTGCCAGTAGTGTCAGAGCTCGTTGGCCAGGAACAAAGCAGGGGCGCGGGTGATGAATGCAGCGATCGTGCTTCTCGCTTCCCAGAATCCGAAGGCTCTGGCAGATCTGCCTTCCTAAAATTCTTTCTACACTGAAAATGACCAACACGGAACTAGTGGCAGAAGAGAAAAACGGGTCATTAGCCCCACTCACCTAGCACTGACAGTGACTGATGGGGGAAGGATCCTGTGGTCAGTGACAGCATGTGGAATAAAGGCTACTCGTTTCAAGTAGTTCAGTCACCAAACCCAAGGCTTCTGCCTTTCCCTTCATCTGCTGTGGTGTCAAGAGCCTGACATCAAGGAAACACTTAGGACCTGACGTGCCCTACCCAGAGCCACCCTCCCCATTTTATTCCGCTTGCACCACTGCCTAAAAGAACCCAGCTGTAGGAAATGTGTAGTATGCAGCAGGTGCCTAATAGATGCCCGTCCTGTGCGGTGAAGATGGAGCAGTCGTTCATTCCATGGAAGGGCGGACTTGGAGGGTCACGAGTTCCCCCATCCCAGGATTTAAAGCATGGGCTGATGTATCACAGGGCTGGGATGTTGCAAAGGAAATTTAAATTGAAAAAAAAAAATTTTAATCCTACTGCCAGTCCGCAAACCAGGGTTCACAGACACAATTTCATTGGATTTTGTTTTTTCAAGTTAGTTACTAACAATTTAAAAATGGTGAGATTTCACAAAAATGATCGCTAGCCTCCAAAAAATAAGATCTGGCAACACGGCCAGCTGGAGCTGAGAGCAGCTTTCCTTAGAGAATCCTCTCCATTCAAAGCAACCCCGGCCAGATTACTGCCCTTTGTTACAGACCTCGCCCCGGTAGTTGACTCAGTCCCCGCCGCTGTGGGTATCAAGCAGATGCAAGCGGAGCTGCTCTGAGTCCTCCCCTTCACCAGGGCACTGAGGCAGCTGCCAAGAGCCCTAGAGATCCAGTAGGCACTAGGTTCATTCTTTGCCCCGCAGGCCTCCTGATCTTTCCAGAAGCCCTATTTTGGGGCTTCCTATTGAAAGAATTCCAAATTTACCACCTCATATGAAGAGCTAGTTCTTGGGGTATGAATGGGTAGGACATCACCTAAGCAACTGTTATTCATGGTATCAGACACGCTTTTTAGCTCAAAGGAACTAATGGGTTTGCCTGCAATGGAGAACAAAGGTACGTCTTAGCACCTACACGTGTACGAGCTCCACTGAGTGTTTTCCTTTCTAATTATACACATTGACAGTTATTGACCCGCACCTCAAGTTCAGGATGACACATGTGCTGAAGGTTTTAACGGTAGATCATTCATGAGGCTTCAGAAATGGGAGGTGCCGGGAGAGACTTCATTAGAACTGGGGCCCACATCGGCCTCTCCACTTAATGGGAGCCTGGAATCCAATTTGGCAAAAAGGTGCCTCCTCCCTTTACAAGATGAGGCATTCCCCCGGCCTTCTCTCTCCCCCACGTGCATTGCCTCACCTACTGAACAAGTCCCTTAGCTCCTTGCCCGCTCCCTGAGAGCTGTCACCTGCACTGCCTGCCTCTACACTTTGCCATCATCTAGCATTTTCTGACAGATGATGCACACGGTGGAGGACGTAACCTATCCTTGGCACCGGGGTGCCAGGAAGACCCCAGCTCCCCATCTGCAAATTTTCAGTGCCCACAATCACACGCCGCGTGCCACGATATGCTGAGAGCCATCGGGGTGGAAACGGGACACACCGAGGATACACCCCCTCAAAGGGTCACATGTCAACCGTCCTCACCATGCCCCGGCTGACTGTCAAGGATGAGTGTGGCGGGGAAGGGAGCGGATGGGGCCAGATGCAGTCTATCTGGGAAGGAGTGTGATGTAAGGTGTCTGCAACGGGGAAACAAATTTTGGGTTTCTGGTTTTTCTCAACTTCCACGAGCAGTCTCAGTCAAAACATATTCCTTGGAGCGAGGCTCGAGATGCTCGAGATACCCATCATCTGCCCACAAGATGCAGGTCAGCATCGAGGTCATCCGTGAACTGAAAGTTTCTGGCTCTTCTCTGCTGCCCAAGACCCCAGGGGACCCAGCTACTAAAATGGGCCCGGGAGGCACCCTGAGGAGACTAGCAAGGTTTTGCCTAGATGCTGGCAGATGCTGGAGGGCTAGATGGTAAGGGTACCAAGAGATTTGCAGAGAGGGCGTCATACAGTAAGGAGTTGTACTTGCGTCCTGAGCGGTGGGAAGGGGGCAATGGGATCCGCTAACCCAGTCGTGGTTAACACGGTTAATACTAGGTTAATATGGACGGTGAACATGCTACACGGTTTCCCCTGGGCCCTCCTGCACCTCCCTGGGGACTGGGTCAGGTGGAAGGTCCCTAGACTCCCACAACACCTAGGATTTATCCCTAATGCTGTGTCTTTCGTGCTTTTTACTTAACCGACCCCCAACCTCCCCCCGCCCCCCCGTTAGGCAGCGAGGTCTTCACATCCTCGTGTCTGCGACAGGGTAGGTGCTGGGCTCACTGAATGACCAAACAGCTTGTGAAACCACAGCAGCAGCCTTGCTGCCCAGAGATGCTCCTTACTGCCCATATACTGTACATGTACCCGTTGCCTTACACCTTCCTAAGAATGACATTTTGCGGGCACTTGCTGTGCGCCAGGGGCTGTGCTCAGTGTTGGTGGGGGTCCTCCACTCCTTGTCTCCACGCCTCTTACTGAGGCAGACCACCAGCAGAGCAGCACTCCCGCCGTCCCCAACCTACCCACGAACTCCTCCCCCTCGGGGAGAAGTGACTTACCCAGTGGGATAACCGGCTTGAATCGGTGCCACCTGGCTTGTCCCGCAGGTCTGCGTGCTCACGAGCCGGGGGCACGCTGGTCTGCTCCCCGTCCTGCAGGAAGTTGGGTCGGGCAAAGGTGCCCGTGCAGAGGAGGCTTGTGGCTGCCTGGCTCAGCCCGGGACTAGGAGGGTCTAATTCAGGGAAAGGCCCTTGGCCCCGATACACCACCACTCATTTATCGAAGACGTACATTTTACACATTTTAACATCTCTGAAGTTGGGATGCATCTTCCAAGCAGATGGCATGATACAGTTGAATTGGCTGTGATGTTGCTTAGTGGTACATCTCACACTCAATGGCATCTTTGATTCGAAGGAACATGGTGAGCAACAGTCTCCAGTCAGCCTTATCAAGAAGCTGGTATCTTGCTGTCCGTCTGTCCCAGTGACTAGTGCTCAACTGGTTTTGAGCACAGGAAGGGAGGAAAGGGGTGTCACGTATTGCCATCCCCGTCACCCCAGCCCCGGCCCTGAGCACTTCCCGTGGCCTGACGAAGCAAATAAAGAAGACACCTTCTCCATGCTGTGACCATGGACATCCTGGCCCAAACCGGAAAGGGCAGGGGCTCACGTGTGTGTGTGTGTGTATGTGTGTGCGCGCATGCACGCACGCGCTCAAGGGGCACTCCAGCACTCAGCCTGCATCCCCACTCCGCCCTAATCACTCTCTTATCCCACTCTTCTCCCTTTGCAGCACACCGCAAGAGATTCCCAAACCCCACTCCTCGATCCTCAAGTAAGGGTTGAATTATGTCCCCTCAAAATTCACATGTGGAAGTCCTAACCCCTGGTACCTGAGAAAGTGACTATTCGGAGACAGGGCCTTTCCAGAGGTCATCAACTTAAAATGGGGTCATTACGGTGGGCCAGCCCAGTACTTCTGAAAGGGGGGAAATCTGGACGTGGAAGGCGATGTGATGACACAGGGAGAAGCCGGCCGTCTGCCAGTCAAGCAGAGAGGCCTGGAACAGACCCTTCCCTAAGTCCTCGGGAAGAGCCAACCAAGCCTGCCGACACCTTGACCTCGGACTTCTAGACGCCAGAACTGTGGGCGAGGAGCTCTATCCTGCAAGCCCCCTCTTGGGGTAGGTTACGCAGCCCCCAGGGGAACATCCCCCCACCCCAGCCACTCCCCCACCTTCTGCTCGCGAGACTTCTCTGTATTTCACACCCACACTCACTGCTCCTTCGCCTCGATGGCTGACTCCTTCCTGGCTTCTCCCCATTTCTCCCCTCAGGCTCTGTCTCCTGCTCTTCCTCACCAGACTTGGGCAGTGTCACACTTGCTCCAGAGCTCCCTCTCCTCCCAGTGCTCCTCAAGGAGCCTCCTCACGGAGGCATCAACTTCGCCCCACCCTGGCCCTCAAAGCTCCGTCTCTAGCCCGCGTCTGTGCCAAGTGCCAGACCCAGCACCCACGATCTCCAGGTGGGGCATCTCCACCCGCACCTCCCGCAAGACCTCAAACACATCTAAAATCTAGTGTGTCGTTTCCCGCCTTCCCCGCACACACCTTACCCGACCTGCTCCCCTCCCCGTGACTGTCTAGCTCAGAAAACGGCACCATCACCTGAGTGTTGCCTGGTGGGGGGGGGGGGG